GTCCAGCGGCATAGCCGTTACGCTAACTGCTGGTTCCCGATGAACTCTTGTTTCCAGAAATTTTATTTCTAAAATACTTGTGTATTATACATTCTTTTTTTTTATAGGGTGTGTGTGCTTGCTAGAGAGAGACAGAGACAGAGAAAGGGAAAGTGACAAATCAGCCACCAGGGGCGATGGCCATGCTGCAATTCCTTTACCTCCATTCTTTTAGCATTTTGGTCACACACACCTGGTGTGATCCTCAAACCACTGGGTTCAGGACTTAAACTGCGTTAGGACATGTGGGAGTACTGCACCTTAACCACCACATTACCTGAATTTTTTTTTTTTTTTTTTTTTGAGAGATTTTTGCTATAGAGCACATGCCTGAGAGACAGTGAGACAGAAAATGAGAAATCACGCCTCAGGGGGATGGCCATTCCACAATCCCTTCTCCCCCATTTTCCTCTTGGGATTTTGGGGACGCACTCACACCCAGTGTGACTAGGACTTGAACTGTGGAACTCATAGTCCAGACTATGTGGGAGTCCAGCAATGTAACCATCACACCATCTACTAGTCTCTGAACATTCTTAATATATATGTGTATACTGATTCTCTTTTTCCATCAGCTAAATTCCTAAAAGTGGTATTGCTAGCTCAAGTATATGGCACATGTAAAATATTGCCAGATACTGACAATTTTATTTCATAAAGATATAGCAATTTGCCTCCCAACAGTGTTGTGAGAATTTTAGTTGCCCCCTTACCCCATCTCTGCCTCATTTTCTTACTTTTTAGGTATTACAATTATTTTCACTTATCTTTTAAACAAATAATATAACAATGACCAACAAGCATATAAAAATGCTTAACATCTGTAATCATTATAGAAATGCAAAGCAAAGCCACAATGAGGTATTATGTCACATCCATTAGGATAGCTACTATTAAAAAAAGAGAAAATGGTGGCCAGCAGGTGGCAATAGTGGCTAAGGCACTGGACTCCCACATGGTCAACCACTGTTCGAGTTCCGGACCCAGAGGCTGGAAAATCATGCCAGGCATGTGTGTGTGCATGCTCCAGATCTCAGGAGAATGGAGAAGGGATTGTAGCATGGCCATAATCCCTGGGGGTTAATATAAAAAAAAAAAAAAGAGAGAGACAGAGACAGTAAGGCCATCCCTATGGTGCAGGTTAAGTACAGTGCAGAGGAAGCCATATACCACATGGCCAAGCAGGGTTTTTGTCCTAGCTTTAGTGGCTTAAAAAACATGCTGGCCATGTGCTGTGTACCTAGAATATTGATGGGATGAAGTGGAAGAAGTAAAGATTTTAGCATGTCTAGAACACATGTGCCCTTGGGCATTTGAGAGGGAGAGAGAAAATAACAAGTGTTAGTGATGATGTGGAGAAGTGGGAGCCCTTGCTTACTACTAATAGGACTGTAAAATGGTGCACCCACTATGGAAAACAATATGGTAGTTTATGAAAACATTAAAAATATAATTGGCATATAATCCAGTTGTTCTTCTAGGGATAAATCCAAAAGAATTAAAAAGTTAGGTTCTCAAAGAGTATATATTTACACACCCATGTATATGTTAGCATTATTCTCAATAGCCAAAAAGTAGCAGCAACCCAAGTGTACACTGGAAGTTGAATAAATAAAACATGATATATACATGCAATGGCATTGTTTTCAGCCTTAAAAAGGAAGAAAATTCTCGGGACCAGCAGTTAGTGTAATGGCTATGTTGTTGGACTCCCATGTAGTTGACCACGGTTCACGTCCTGGACCTGGTGGCTTAAAACTCACGCCAGGCGTGTGTGTGTGCATGCCCAAGATCCTGAGAGGAGAATGGAGGAGAAGGGATTGCAGCGTGGCCATCCCCCCTGGGGGGTGATTTCTCGCTTCCTGTCTCTGTGGCTCTCTCTGTCTGTCTGGCGAGCGCATACGCCCTATAGCAAAGAAAAAAAAAAAAAGGAAGAAAATTCTGACACGTGCTATAACATGGATGAACCTTGAGGGCATTATACTAAATGAAATCAGCTAGTCACAAAAAGGTAAATATGGTATGATTCTACTTAAAGTATCTAGAGTAGTCACATTATAGAAACAAAGTAGAATGGTGGTTGCCAAGGCTGTGGGGAGGGGGAAATAAAGAGAAGTTTAATGGGTAAAGAGTGTTATTTTATTTAAATGCAGTAGAGTGACTTTTTTTCACTTTGAAAAAAATGTTTGTTTTTTTTAGGTTTTCGTGATAGGGCACATACACTCACCAGAGAGAGCAAGACAGTGAGAAGGAACATGAGGAGTCACCCCCCCCAGAGGGGGATGGCCATGCCGCAATCCCTTCTCCCCATTCTCCTCCTAGGATTTTAGGCATACACACACATATGCCTGGAATGATTTTAACACTGCCAGGTCCAAGACTTGAACTGTGCTGTTGCCCATGTAGGATCTAGCTACCTTAGCCACCATGCCACTGCCTGGTTGTCAACCATAATTTAAAAACAAAACAAAACAAAAAAAACTACAAAGAGGAAAAAAAGCTTATGAAAAAAGGTATGGTGGGGTCATTCAGTTCCCATCATGTGATAGGCATTGGTACTCTTTGTATAGTACGTCGTTTGATCTTTATAATAAACATACAATAGCTATTGGATTGCTTGTTAGATGAATAGGTAGCCACATTGTTTTAGGAAAAAGTGAATCAGTAAGGAGGACATAACTGATTTTTATTTTCTAGGTTTTTGCATAGGGTACATGTGAGAGAGAAAGTGAGAAATCACCCCCAGGGTAGATGGCCACACTGCATCTCCTCAACTCTCCTCTCAGAATTCTGGGCACACAAATATGCGTCTGATGTGACTTATGCGCCAGGTCTGGGACTCAAACCACAGTTGCCCATGTGGGAGACCAGTGCCTCAACCATCATGCCACCTGCTGGCCCCAACATAATTGATTTTTTTATTGAAGGATCCTGACACTTAGTGGCTGATGTTACCTTTAAGACAAAGCCCTTGGAACATACTAAATCAGCACATTTAATAAAGCTCTTTCTAGACTTTAATGACAACTGATGATAAAAATTTCATTTTGGTGCTAGCCCTGTAGCACAGCAGTTAAGCCCTGTGTGTGGGGAACAGAAACCAAAGTTCAAGTCTTGGCGTCAGCAATTTGAAAAACATGCTGGGTGCATGTGTGTGCCCTAAATCTTGATGGGATAAAGAAATAAAAGAAAAAAGACTGGGGCATGACCAGGCCCCATTGGGGCATGCTTTCTCTCTCTCTCTCTCTCTCTCTCTCTCTCTCTAGTGCATGTACCCTCTGGAGTAAAAGAAAAAAAAAGTTTCAGTTTGGTGTAGACACACATAAAAGAATAATTTGAACCAGTTTTAGGGTGATTTCAATAGTAGCTACAGTGTATTTATAGACCAGTGATAGAAATACAGCAGTGGGATTACTGAGACTTTGTCTTTTTTTCTTTTTAAAGAATTATTTTATTTATTTATTTATTATTTTTCACCTGAGTTTTGCCAGAGAAAGATAGATAGATAGATAGATAGAGAGAGAGAGAGAGAGAGCAAGCAAGCCACCAGGTCCAAGACTTGAACCATGGTTAGTCATGTGGGAATTCCAGTGTCTCAACCACCATGCCACCTGCTGGCTCCACTGAAACTTTGTCTTTGAGGAGAGAAATTATACTCTGGTTGCTTCTTTACTGATATAGTCTACTCCAAAAGTTCCTATTTTCTACCTTGGGTTCTTCTCAGTGTTAGATGTTTTCTCTATTTTCTTTTCTCTTGCTTGATCACTTATGTTTCTTTCTCTCTTTCTAGACTTTTATTGTAATGCTTATCTACCTTGTCTTGTAAAATACCTACCATAACTAATAGGTTGATAATTGACAACAGAGAGTAAAAGAACCACACAGTATTGGAAATACTGTTGGAATGGTTCTTTTTATGAGTTAAATTAGCCTCAAAGGACATTAATGGCTTTAAAGGTAGTTAATTGGAAAAGTTTCAATCCTGCTAATTTAAACCAGGATTCAAGACAAAAGATTCTAGACCCAGAAAGTATTTTAGACCTAAGAGTTTCACTATGCTTTTAGAGTGCTCATGCCTTTTAGTATATGTCAAAGGTAAACAAAATCTGAAGGTTTCCTGTTTAATTTACATAAAAGGAATGGAGCTCCCAAGGTTGCGCCATGCCCTTCCAAGTGTTAGGGATATAGTCAGACTTTTCCTTTCTCTCTAGGTACTTGGCTGACAAAACTGCTGAGCTGGAGCGAGTAAACAAAATTAACCAGTGTTTACAGGAGGATTGGGAGAGGAGTGCTGTGATGAAGAAGCAGCGGGACCTGGAGGAGAAAGCTTTTGAGCGGTAATACCTGACTGGAACCAGACTATCTTTGTAAAGAAAATCTCCTCTGTCCCTTGTTTACTTTCCTCTAATTCTGTAATGGCAGATAGATGTCAAATGCCAGCTTCAGTTGATTAGTAGTGGCTGCCTAGAGAACATGGTGGAGAAAGCAAGTCTGTATTCAGTGGGAAATACTGCTGTGATTGATTAGAATGTCTGTTACAGGTATAGGATTGAAGATTGCTGTGTTGTATGTTACGTATTGACCAACCTTGCCCTAATGTTTGCCTCTGCTCAGGGTGGCTTTAGTTTTAGTTTCTTTTTGTGGAGGGTGGAGATTCCCTCTGGAAATAACTAGTTGAAAGTAGGAAGAGTGAGTTTCTGACCTAACATGTTCATAGCTTATGGAATAGTCATTCATTTAAGAGCAGAGTCAAGAGGTTGTAGGTAAGATTGACAATTGGGGAAAGTGAAATGCCCACTATGGACGCAAGCAAGAACATCTTCCTGTCATTCTACTCCTGCCCTCTTTCCCCCAGCTATGTATTTACAATCTCAAGTTAGGAAATCGAGGTTATACTTCTGACTTTGATAATGAACACTAATGTTGGGGAAGCAGCTATTCTTTTTGTTTTTATTTTCTTAGGTGTAAAATGGGAAAGCAAACACTTGTCTAACCAAGCCAACATAGGAATTTTAGAGATCAGATAAAGAGATGGGAAAGAATTACACTTTGAAAAAAAAAGTTAAAGTACTTTGTAAATGGAAGGTATGATTTCAATGGATGAAATTTGTAACTCTCCTTTTCCTTTTAGGTTTTATGGTAAGGCATTTCTCACCTGTCTTTAAATGGATAAAATCCATATTTTGTGACAATAAAAGTGTGAAGGATGATGTGAAAAATAGGTTCCAAAGTGAAGTGGTTTTTTTTTTTTGTCCCAGAGAAGAGGAAAGGAAAAAGGAATGGGGGATTTCAAGCCATTTTCTTTCTTTCTTTTTTTAAAAAGAATTATCTGTTTATTTAATTCCATTTTAAAAATTATACACACACACACACACACACACACACACACACACACACAAACATATATATAATCTCCAGAGATGGGCAGAGGGACAGAGCGAGAAAGAGAGAAAGTGAGAAACCAAGCCGTCAGGCCCAGGACTCAAACCGTGGTCAGCCACATGGGAGTCTGGCACCCTTAACCACTGTGCCACCTGCCAGCCCTTATTTAATTCCATCTGTTATTATTATTTTTAAAATTTGACCAGACAGAGGCAAAGAGAGAGAAAGGGAAAGTGAGAAAGCAAGCTGAGAGGTCTGGGACTCAAACCACAGTTGGCCATTTGGGAATCTAGCGCCTTTAACCACCAGCCACCTGCAGGCCCAAATTTCAAGCCACTTTCTGTCTTGTGGGAAAGCAGGTAAAAGGCAGAGAGGCTAATACGAGGGAGACTTTAGCTGAATTCAGGAAAAATGCTTGGCCAACATGATAAAGGAGAGAGGAGACAAAGGAAATACTCTGGAGTGGTATGTAAGGGACCTGCCCTGGGACAGAGTGGAACAGACCAGTTATCTGGCAGCAGATAGGAAGAAGGAATTGGTTGGTTTAAAAATTAAGTGAAAAGGTTTAGATGTGTGCAGGCTGCACCTGACACTCTCTTCCCATACCAAGGCAAGCCTCACAGCTCGTTTCCTGCTTGCCTCCAAGGTGATTCTTTTTCCTTTTAAGGCTGTCCTTGATACTACTTTTCACAGAATTCCACACATGCAGAAAATTTGAAGGAGTAGGCAAGCTCACCTGGGACTGTCTTGCCTAACTCAGAAAAAATTCTGAGTGGAAAATCAGTCCCTGATGCCCCTTTATCTCCAGTCCTCCCACCCTCAACTCTCTGGAGGCTCTGTCTTCCTCAGCCTTCTAATTGCAAATCTACTCTTAACTCTGCTAGTGGTGACTGCTAACCAGCAGCATAATTGCCTGACCTCTCTCTCCAGGACCTTTCTCCAGGAAGCTGGGCAGGTAGACAGAGGTACATCTATACTGCGAGGTGTGCACACCAAAACTGGCTGTGTGACCTTGGTCAAGTTCTGTGTCCTCTGAAGGCTTGACTGGGTGTGGTTCAGTCTGTGAAGCACCCTGTCTGGGTCTTCTCTTTGGTGCAGGAGGAGACAGTGGAGGTTTGGGAGGAGGGAATGTCAGGACTGGGTAAGATGCAGGGAGCAGCAGTGTGGGGAGAGTACAGGTAGGTTGGAAGCTCCTGCAGAGCAGGGGCCAGGTGTAGCTTTCCTTATGTAGCCCTTGCAGTGCACCTATAGGTGCCCATGATCATCTTCGCTCTCCTCTCTCCAGGGCCTCAGACAAGCTGTTCCTTCTGGACCAGTGCGAGAAGTACCGGCGCTGCAAGCAGTGCCAGAGGCGCACCTCCAACCTGGGCGAGAGCAACCTGTGGCCTCTGAACAAGTTCCTGCATGGCTCCCGGTTGCTCGTCTAAAACCCAAAGTCTGGATCTGAATTTTCTGGGGGAAGTTTTTATTTTTTATGTTTGGGGTGATTGTGAAACTGCATATTTATACCTCAGAGGAAAAAAAAGTTACTGTTTGGGTTGGGTGCTTTTAGTAGATTGCTTTTTAACTGCTTATTGAATTCTCCCTGGCAGCTTCTCCTCACCTGCCTCTCTCCCACCCTCCGACTTATCCTCAAGCTTGTCCCTGATGGCAGAGAAGGTGCCTGAATGTCCTGAGGCTAGAACCCGCTGCTGCTGGGGCTGGGGATAGGACTCAACTTTATTCTGGCTGTTGGACTGCTTTGGATCCAGCCCTGCCATTCCTCTGTAACTCTGTGAAAGAAACTTCATCTGTTTTCATCCATAGCAAATAATGTCATAATAAATATTTTCTACATATCTATGCATGACAACTTATAATGGAGAATTTATTGCCACCCCAACCCTACACTTTCCAATGGGTTGTATGTGTGGATATCAGAGAAGTAGATTAGGCTATTTATAAACTTCAGGTTAGAGCAATGTTTCTTGAGTTTTGTTTTCTTTCCTTTTCTCATTGCCAGAGAGCATGCATGTTCATTTGTGCATATGTGAGAGAGACCAAGAGAGAGAGAAAAAGAAGTTCCCTAGTGGGGCATGGTCACGCAATTCTTTCTCTAGTTCTCCATCCTGTCACGATTTGAGGTATAGTCATACATGAACCTTGTGTTTTCTTCAAGCCACCAGGGCTGACACTTGAACCTTGGTTTGACCTGTGGGATCTGGCTTCATATGCATAGCACTTAACTGCTGCAATAAGGGGCTGGCCTTCCTGAGTTTTTTAACTAATGATATGCCTGCCACTTTTTAGAGATATCATTCCCCTGGTGACTTCCCAGTCATCCATTCCATTGTTCAGCCATTTCTGTACCCTGATCAAGTGTTTATTGGGGGAGCCAGACTGGCTGGGCAGGTGCCCCCTTCTGACTGCTTCACTTGCAGCCATTCTTTGGCAGTAAGTGCTGCTGAAGAGGACTTCCCTTCTGGTCAGAGGACTGATTTTCAGTAAGGGTATGGGTATTCCCAACCAAAGAATTTCTTCATTTGTCTTTACCCTTTTCTCTCCCTTCTCCTTGCTCCATCCTACCAATTCAAGTAAAACAAACTAGGGAGAAGTCTATTGGGTCATCAGAAAAGGCCAAGTGGTGTGGTGGTTAAAGTGCTAGATTCCCACTTGGTTAACCACAGTTTGAGTTCCAGACTTGGCAGCTTAAAAATCATGCTGGGCATGTGTATATGCATGCCCTAAATCCCAGGCGTAGAATGTGTGCGTGTGGCGGGTGGGGGTGGGGAGAAGAGACTGTGCATGACCGTCCCCCTGGGGGATGATTTCTTACTTTCCCTCTCACTGTTTCTCTCTGTCCCTCTCTAGTGAGCACATATGCCCTATGGCAAAAACTTAAAAAAAAAAAAAAAGAAAAAGAAATGAGGAATATATACAAGGAGATGTTTAAGAATATTTAAACATTTGTTTTGCCTTACAACCAATACAGAATAGGAGTATGTTGAGTTGAATAGCTAAGGAGAAAACTCTCAAGCTGATATGTAGCATTTTTTTTTTTAATGTTACCTTTATCTGTGGAAACAAGCATACCTGGCTGATGATTAGAGCTTAATTGATAACTCTTCCCCAACCTCCCTACATTTCTGCCTCTTTCCATTTTCTTCGAAGATTCTTCCAAGGAGGTCCAATCACCATCAACCAATATTTGGAATAATAGCCTTTCCCCCTTCAGACTACCTGCTCTGCCTGAATCAACACCTGCTGTATCCTTGGAATATTTATCTCTAATATTAAACAAATTACTGTAATTGATATGTTCTGGTGAACAGTTTTAACTTCAAAGACATCTTTACATTTTTCTTTTAAATAGTAGCACATATATGTGCACAAGAGAGAAAGGGAGAAAGAAAAAGAAGCATTCTCAACAAGGTCTCATCATGCTGAAAATCCATTTTCCATACTCTCTAGCTCCTTAGGATTTTGGGTGCCAGTACAGATGTGCCTGGCATACTTTCAGGCAGACCCAGGGATCCAAAACCATGGTTGGCCACATTGTTTCCAGCTTTGTACTCCAGTGCCCTATGGACTGTGCCACCTTGGCTGGGCCAACTTTGTGCGTATTTTTACTGGAGCAACTGATCTTAAACTTTACTATCAGGGGTGGCAGTAGTGACTCATGTGCCAAGAACTAAGCTAATTTTTGATGACTTGAAGATTAAGACCTCACAGCCCCTGGTTTTCTTCAGTTTGCTTTCTAGTGCAGAGGTAAGATGTGATTAGAAAAATCTCTGAATAACAAGGTAAAGAAAGACCTATAGTGCTGTGGAAGAGCAAGGTGGAGCCTTTGTAGTCAGTTTAGCCTGAATAAAGAAGGAAGACTTTTGGAGATGAGGTCAAAGCTTTATTTTAAGAATAAACAGGTAATGGCCAGGTGAAGAGTGACAGGGAATCATGACAAAAGATTTCAAAGTTACGTGCACCAGTTTGTCAAGGCCAAGATAGACTGGTTGTGAATTAAACAGATGCAACTTATCAATAGCATGATTTTGTATCATTCTACCATTTTAAGAATCAAACTTGATTATAGTCTTTTGTTAAAACAGCTGATTCCATAAACAAAGAATGGACAGTCTCACACATACACCTGTCTGTATTTCTGTTATACCCACTCCAATCCAAAATACTAGAATTTATCTTTTTCCCTTCCCATATTTGTAACTACTGTCTCTGAGAAACCTGATTCCCATTATCCTCAGTGTATTACTGGATGAACCATTATGTAATATCTGATCACTACTACCCCTCACTCCTACCCAAGGTATATACCCTTTCACTCTGGGCCATGATGCTGTTATCACTATCATTATTGCTTGAATGCCCTTCTCATCTCACCTCAGACTCTGATATTCTGTGCTGCTGCCTCTGCATCCTTATCTCCTCCATAAACAGTTATCTTGCTCTGCTCTATCCAGTAGACTCAATTATTAAAGAAGAAATGAAAGGAAGGAAGAAGAATGAAGAGGAATGAATGAAGAGGAGAGCAGATAATAATAAGATTGTACTCTTATGCATCATGCACAGGACAGGAAGCAAAGTTTGGATATTTTTAAAAATTTTTAACTATTAGAGAAGAAACTTGAAAAGAAGGAATAATATCTTCAAAAGCTCAGAAGAAAATAAACATCAATGTGTACTCAGCAAAACTATTAAAAATAAAGGCAAAAAATAAAGGGACCAGCAGATGGCATAATGGTTACATTGCTGAACTCCCACATGACTGACTGCAGTTGGAGTCCTGGACCCTGTGGCTTGAAACTCATGCAGAACATGGGTGTGTGCACCCAAAATCCCAAGAGGAGAATGAAGGAGAAAGGATTGTGGCATGGCCATCCCCCTGGGGGGTGATTTCTTGTTTTCTGTCTCTCTGTCTGCCTCTTGGGAAAGTGAACGTATCCTATAGCAACAATCTCTCAAAACAAAAGAAAAGAATAAAGGCAAAATTAAAGACCTTTAGAAAAAAGTTGATAAAAAACTCAAAGGGGGGAAAAAATAAAAGGAACCTCCAGAAAATGCTTCTGGATGAAAAATAGTAATAACCCCAGAAAAAAGGATAAAGATGCAAGAAGGTATAGTAAGCAAAGAAAATAATTTGTTGGAGAATTTTAATAGTCATCTTCATAAACATCTAATTCATATTTTAAAAAGCTGACTACTAGATAAAACACTGCTGATTTTTTTCCAAGTATTTTTAACATTTGACTTTTTTAAGCACTAAAAGAATAGAAATAGCATGTATAATAGACTATGATTTGGGGCAAATTACTTAACCTTTCTGTGCCTACGTTTTTTAAATTAGTACAACAGAACAGTAGTAGTATCAAACTCATAGGGCTGTTGTATTACGTGAAGCTATTTAGAGCAGTGCCTAATCCATAATACTTGATTTTTAAAAAGTGTTAGTCATAGTTACAACTTCGAGGATAGCAGAAGGAAAATATGAAGTTAGGGGAAGAAAACAACTCAAAAGAAATGAAGATAAAATACAAAAAAGAAAAAACAAAAATGGATCAAATAGGACAAAATTAAAGGGCCAAAAACTCAAATGAGCCAAGTTTTTCAGTTAAATGACAGTCTGTGGGGGCTACCTGGTTAAGGCAGCTGAATCCTACACGGTTCTGGTCCTGACACTGCGGCTGCAAACACAGGCTGTGTGTGTACGCGTGTGGCGGCGTGCCCAAAATCCCGAGAGGAGCATGGAGACGGGATTGCCCTGGTCATCCCCCTTGAGGGGCGCATTCTCGCGTTCTCTCCCTCTCCTTCTCTGTCTCTATCCATGCACAGGAACCTTAAACCAAAACCCCAGTTTATGAGACACGGTGGGACAAAAACAACAACAAAACCAAACAGTATGTTGTACCCACGAGGCATAGTTAGAACCGATAAAGAAAATGGAAAAAGACCAGTCAAGAATCAAAGGCTGGGAGTCGTCTTCGGATACCTTCCCTTCCGGTCCCAGTGTACCCCTCTCCCCTTCCATATTCCATCCCTCACCACCACCACCCCGCGGACCTTCTCAGTCCTTAGTCTCCCTAAGGTGAGGCCTGGCAGTTCCCATTCCAGTGCTGTTCCAGCCAACCACGGCTTCGCACCTTTGGCGGCCGTGTGACGTCAGCGAGGGCGGGCCTCATGCGCATTGGCTTTTGGGCCGCTGGCGGTGATTGGTGAGGACGTTCGCTCGTTCGCTCGTCGCGCCGGCTACAAAAGGCAGCGCTTGTGACGCACGGGCGCTTCAGCGCGTGCGTATTGGCTCGGTCGAGGCGTTCCTTTCACACCTCCGGGTCCACGGTGGAGCCTGGTGTCCCGCCGCTACCGCAGCCGCTGCCCCGCGACAACATTATCCCTCTCGGCCCTGCAGCCGCGCGTGTTGCCTCCGCGGGACTAGCTGTATGCTTTGGCCACAGTCTTTCATGAGTAAACTTCTTTTCTGTGGTACTCTTGGTCACGCATTTATGGAGTTTCTTAAGGGCCCTCGAGATTATTGCCAGGCACAGCACGGCCTTTATGAGGACAAGTGAACTGTAAAAAGTCATTCCTCCTCTACCGAGAAGCTCCCATAAGAGCTGGTGACCTGGACAGAAGTGCTGAATTGAAACCAATAGAGGTTTAAACAAGAGTTCTGACCTGGATGGGGTAAACCATCTGCATTTTCTTCCTTTCCATTGACTCAAGTATTAGTGAATTGAAGAACTGCTGTTTCTTGTTAGGAGGGTCATTTCATTAATGTTACCCTAACTTTGTATTCCAGATTCTTAGAAGTTGAAGTAGGCATATTAGACCAGACTTCAGTTTCTTGACATCATTTCTATATCCAGAAACTTTGAATTTTAAAATTTTCACAGCTACGCTGAATGTTTTTTAAACTAACATGACTCCAATGAACCATCTAGCCCCTGTGGAAGTCACATACAGGAATATGAGATTTCTTATTAC